CGAAAGTTCAAACCCACTTTGTGTATTTAAAAACAATTTGTCCTTATCTTAGACCTACCATAGTAATCTTTATCTATTTTTAATGTCAAGGAAAGTGTGAAAACGTATTATTATTCTTTATTATCCCTGTATCTTCCAAACCTTATATTATCTTAATTTATACCGGGTGATGATTAAAGGCCAATCATCATCACCAACCAACTCAATATAAACACTAGTCTGTCTAACTACGACTATCCCAGATAGTCAAAATGATTATCTTAATTTATTTATCCCACTCTATTTTCATCCTTCATACGAAATGCCTTGACAAGTAAATATGTGACTAGATTGTTCGGAATGTATTGCACGAATCCATCACAATTCCCAATGTAAGTGTTATTGAGCATAGATAATAGTTTACAAAAAACAACTGTAAGATGGGAGTTCTTTTACATGACGAGAGAGAAATGTAACTTAACAAGCAAACACAAAAGCCCAACTTTATTATTTATTACTTGTCCCTTGGGTTCCTAGTGGAACATACAGCTTCAGCAGCACGTTTTCATTTCACTATCTTCTCTGTAGTCTTTTGAATCTGGCTCCACGACTGTCCACAACCTCTCATTTCTTCCTCACATCATCTCCTCCATGTCACCCTAGTCTCGGACACCCAACTCGCCGTTTCCTATCTAGGTTCCATTCGAATGCCTGGCCTGATGCGTGATGTCCCCGAATAGTCTTCTCAGTGCATGCCAAATCCATCTCCACTTCCTTCTGCATATTTGTTGGTTGATAGGTTCTTGGTTGGTTCGTTGCCAGCCAGAGTTCCTTGTTGCTTATTCTTATTATTCTGGCCATTTGAGCTTCAGTAACGAGCGTAGGCAGTTGCTAATGGACATCTGTAGTTTGTTGGAAACGTTTTTCGTAACGCGACGGGTCTGTGAACCATATAGAAGCACTGACTTGACCTTAGTGTTGAAAATCCGGATCTTATTATTTTTGCTGTGCAGATCTCCACACTGGTTTCAGGTTAATGAACGCCGGTCTTGCTTTTTCGATCCGCGCTGCTTTGACGTCCTTGTCTGTGCCGCCTGTAGTTGAAACGATGCTGCCTGCGTAGATAGATGAAAGAGGCTACTTCCTTTGAGTTTCTCCCATTGATGACTGAAGATGCCCCCTTGTAGTTTCATCCTTCAGTTTCTGGGTGTTGAAACTTGAACTGTGGTCTATCACCAACTTCCTTGAAGGCTTTCAACTTGATTTGGAAGGTTCCTTGCACTAGATAGTGAGTAGTCTGAACCTACGTCTGCTCCTCTTCTTTCACTTGTGTCCAGTTAGCTGAATGCGTCTCCACTTTCTTCACACTGAGATGAAGTCTATCTGATTTTTTGGTGTAGAGTGTCCATCTGGTGAAATCTAATCCATGCCACTTTGTGGATATCCTTGTGCTTGAACACACCACCTGACTCCAATCACCAAATAGTTGAATGCACAGAATTCTGCAAACAATTCTCCATTCTCGTTCATCACCACACCGAGCACTTCTCCACCCATGGTTAGTTCTCTTCCTGTGTTGTCCACCCCCAACTTGGCATTCACGTCCCCCATCAGAATTTTGATGTCGCCAACTGAGGTGGTGTCTTGTCCAATGTTGATTGCAGTTGTCTGTAGAATTCCTCCTTCTTCTCTTCATCTGCATTGTTTGTAGGTGTGTAGTGTAGCGTGGCATTGTACGATTGTGACTTTCCTTCATTTTGAGTTGAACCTTGCTGTTATGATCGTGATCCTGCAGGATTAGGAGATTGGTTCCCACTGCGTGAGAGAGAGCCTTCGATGTTGTTGGGGACATGATGATAGCCACTCTCTCCATGTGCTCGTCGTGGTTGTTGTCTGGGTGACAATATTGGAGTAGATTATTGACCCCTCTCCAGTTGACAGTTTGGAGAGTTCACTTCACTTCCATTCCATATGCCTATCTCTCTCAGATTCCTACCACTTCTATGCTATCTATACCTTCTCATCTCTTTTGCAATCTGGGCAGCCTTGGTAGGTTCAAACATGGTGCGGACATTCCATGTCCTCACGTTTACTTTCACTTTCATCGAGGGAGAGAAGGCACATTGTCCAATTGGCTTCCTGAAGGCAGGCTTTCACCAACTGGCGTCATTTCGTCTCTCCGATTCCAGTTTGTTTTTATTTTTTAGATTTTGTTTGTGGTTTGAAGTTTGTTTCGCGATTGGATTGGTTGTAGTGGTTATGGTTGCTAGCTGTATGCCCAACCTTCCTCCTTTATCGAGGCTTAGGACCGGCTAGTAACTAGTCAACTAGTTAACCAGGCTGAATTACTTAGCTGAATAACATATGCTGTATAAAGAGGAGGGGAGCGTCTAGTGATGCTGGTGTATGGACTGATTACGTGCAGTGAAGTTGGTAAAATAAGATATGAGTCTGTGAATAGTGTTCCAGTTTCAACATCTAGAATGTTAGTCCAAACCGATTCATTACAAAATCTCGACACCTCAGTTTTTTTGAAACAAAGTGTAATATGGATGAACAGTAAGAGAAAATTATGAAGTTCTCCGGTTCATTTGTTACACCTCACAAATTTAAGACTGTTATTTGAAACGCTTTTTTTTTACAAGTTTTTGTGTTTTATCCTATATTTCTCGAATTAGGCATATACACAAGAATCAATATTTCCACAACAGTACCGTAAAAGAGTGGAATTTGGTTATTAGTATGGTATAGGAATGCATTCCCCTTACATTAAATTTGTTTGTTTGGCATAACATACAGTGTAATTGACTGGATTTATATTGCCCATAATTATATCAATATGGCCATATAATTTTTTAAAAACTTGGTTTTTATAGTTTAAATGCTCCTTCTACGTTGGATCCAATCGTAATCGAACTTTGCATGCTACGTATATCATATACTGGTTCTACTGAGTGAAGATTTAATAATCAATCTCTCTGCGCCTAAATAAATACATTTTTTTTCGACTCTGAATCTGTTGTTTCATCCTACAACGTGATTGTGTCTTGATGCATTTAAAACATCACTTCAGTTCAACCTCTCCCTAGATGGGGTCAGTCATTCTAAGCTTAACCAAGTTAGTATGCACCAACGACCTGATCGATACCGATTGATTTCTTCCATGTCATTTTGATAACGATTGGCTAACTGAAATGCCTGAACCCAATGATTGCATGGTATTTGATAAGACGGATTGTTTTGTCTCCACACGTTGCCAAAATTCTTAAGCTGACCAAATTTAAATACTATTCTAATTTCAGACTTCCTAGGAATTCTAGGTGAATAACACCAGGTGAGTGAAAAGGCGATTTGCTTTAATAGCAGTATAAATTGCTAACAAATCCCAGTAAGAAACTAATTGTTAAAAAAACCTCTATGCTCTTTACACGTATGTTGATATCCATACATCAGGTCAGGTGAAGGGTAGTAGGCAATGAGACGGGTAATTTGACAAAGATTGGTAACCTTGAGGTGGCCTAGAGATGTACAACGCGTGACAAGTCACCTCCTACCTCGTCGTACCGTGCTAGAGGAAGTTGGAGTAGGTTGGAAGAGGGTTCAAGGTGGGCACATCAAGACGTGCTACAAGTTCATCAAGTCTCTTACTATTGATTTTAGTCGTGTGGAAGATATAGACTATCTGACTGGTGTGTTCTAGAAACTATAGGAGTCTATGGTTGACAACTGTTAGTGACATGGTTGGAAATCGATCACAGTGGCATAGATGTATTCACTCACTTTCTATCCACTTGTTCTTTATATACTAGTGTGAGGTGTGATAACTTGAACCGATGCACTTACGCGTTTATTTCCAATCATACTGTGTTAGGGAACTTGAAAGTTCATGGAAATTCAAGTCTGGTTTTCAGTACTCGTCCCATCAGTGTTTGATTTACAGACTTATCTGAGAAGATTCCTTATGTAGGTATGTTTTTCCCTGATTATAGTCAGTTCAGAGTAGTAATAAATGGATCGAATTTTTTTCTCTTCTGCTTCACTTCTTGCTTACTACTCGCCGAGTTGAGATTCAGTTGTTCTAGAGGAGTAGTTGGTGATAGTATATTCATTCGTGTGAAGCGTATTGCACTGTACAAGGCAATTAAAGCTAAATGAAATTAGTTTTGGAGATGATACAAGTAACAGACTTTTAAAATTAATAGAGGAATAGAGGAAAAGTAAAGTGAGTAACTAGTCGGCTTAAACAAAGTTCGGTTTGTATAGTTACAAGTGAGAGTAATTAACTGTATAACCGTATAAATCATAGAGGTAGTATTCATCGTGGACTGACATCGGTTGGGAAACCATTGAAAACCTGAGAGCACTGACAAACGAAAATCCCCATTCATCTCAAAAATACATTACTGTATAGTGCTCGTTAGTGGCATGCTTACAGATGGGTACCACGGAGTTCTAATGGGAAGCCGTGACTTGAGGAGTCAAACAATCAGAAGAGAAGTGAATACCAATTAAAGACCTTGGGTGATAGTCACGCTATATCGTGAACTGACAGAAGTTGGAAATTGTGAGCCATTGAACTCTGACCCAGTGGCTGAATGATTAACGCGTTCGCCGCGAAACCTGAAGGTCCTCAACTCGACCCCTGGTCAGATTGCGGGTGCATACTGCTGAGGAGTCCCATACTAGGATGAAACAACTGTCCAGTGCTCCCAGGTTTTCAATGGTTCCCCGACTGATGTCAGTCAGTCACGAATACTACCTGTAAACTAAAATCCCCATTCATCTCAAAAATATATATAAATAATCATTTACATAATAAACAACTTGGATCAAAATACACGTAGTGGTAAAAGGAGCCGTTTTCTCCGTGAATGATAAGTTAGCTGAAATTTGTGAAATTTTCACAATTCTATTTGGATATTAAGTGGGAAATATCAAGAAAAAAATAAATTTAAAATATGATGTAAAAACAATCCAAACAATACGAAACAAAAACACACTGAAACTCATTCATTACTCACCAACAACAATGCGAGCCAAATTGTCAGCCCAACGGAACATTTCATCCATACCCGATAAAGCTAAAGCATACACAGACGAGCCACCGATCAAAACTATTATATTCGACTCCTTATCCATATGATAACCACTTTCAAACCCTGTTATTTCATCAATGGGTGCTGGACCACCAACACTTGAAGCTAGATTAGATGCTGTTGCAAGCCCTGAAGAAGTACTTCCTAAGGCAGCCACACATGAATGAACTGCTGTATTGACTAGTGGACTATTCGAAGTTGGACATGAGTTGTGACTGGTTAGTATGGTTTGTGAAGTTAAGCTTTTTTGTTGAAGTGACACTGATGACGAAGCATAAGTTTGATCAGATGACCTTTGAGTAACAGTTGATTCGCCTAACAGACCACGGGATTCTGAGGAGATAGGTAGCTCATGTAATTTACGCACAACAGGGAGTATAGCTGTCAGCACTGAGCCTGAATTACGATAAGCTGCAAAGTCATCATAACTTTTTGTAATGTATAGATGTAAAGCATCTGAAAAATGAAATATAAGCTTTTATTCAATATAATAAATTTTAACTGAAGACAAAAAAGAGTGGAAAATATAAAAATCCTAAGTATTTTGATGTAATCCGGAAGTACATGAATCAGTTAAACTCTACTTCAATTTTTGTTGCTCAAGAAATTTAATATGGTCTATCTTCTTAAGACTCAAAATTCCGGTGTACAGAACTCAAATATCATTCTTAACTAATTTTGAACAAAAAACGAAATATAATTCTCTCGGCAATCACATAGATATTCATGCACTAGGCAATGATACTATCTAACTGGCTAAAATTTAGCAGTATGGGTAGGGTTCGAACTCATGACCCAATGTGATTGAAAATAGTGTTTACACCGATGGGCTATAAGTTGCACAACTAGGTTTGTCCTAGATAGTTTATGATACTTCATTCAGTTAGTTCTCTTCATGAATTGAGATACCAACAATAAGAATGTATCGTGTAAAACTTGTTTTTATGACTGATATGAGATAGTTGACAACTATGAGAGTCAGTTTAAAGATGGGTAGAATATGGTGAACTTTTATATCTACTAAAATCAATTGAATGTTTAAGTAAAGCATTTTAAGACCATATTATCAGAAAATAGGACGAATTTTATCTCACACAAGTGATTAATTTTTTTCTTAAAGTGACATTTCTTTTATTTAGTACTCTAAAGCATTTTCTTATTTTGCATTTATACCACTTAACAAATAATAATAGTAATAGTAATAATAATAATAATAAGCAATATGACTTAGCACTCATGTATAAGTTAGTAAACTTGTTCATAGGTCATATGTACTGAAGTGATATTTGATCCTACGACCTACTTGATTGAAAGTGAATATAAACCATCAACATACCAGAATTAAAATGCACTCAGCAACCTTTTACACATTTGCGCAGTAGGCATTGAGCCACATCTACCGTGTGAAGGCTGCTAATGATGCTACCTACCCTTCCCCCCCCCCCGCCACTAAACCTGTGTAAACGGAGCGGGACTCACACTCGTTGGAAGTTAGCTGCCTAAACCAATGAGCCACAGATTCATCAAGCTACCAGCTTGTTGTAGTCAACATAAAAGTGAAGTCAGCAATGTTTAAAAGTGTAAAAATACCAAGACCCTAGTAATAATAATCACACACAATGATGTATAAATTCATGACAAAAGTCACACTAGTGCACTTAGTGAAAACAGCAGAACACAACTACTATTTCATCTGTACAAATAAACACGACTAAATTCTTGCTAAGTAAAACGAAGACATGAATAATTTATTTGATGGTTGTAGACATTTTCATATAGTTGGAGCAATATTTTTGAGACTTTGAAATGAAAAAAAAATGAAGAAAAAGATTAGGTAGGTAAACAATGCCCTTGCGAAACATATGCGCGCGTGATAATAAAATTCTGGTCAACATTCATCTAAAAGGAGTAATTCGATTTTTTCAAGTTAGACCAACGTTACCTTAGAATAACCTTGAAACACGTGATAAGAAGGTGAAGGTCAGGCAAAATGTCTGAGTGAAACTGAGGTCAATTTCTATAATAAATCCATGAGTCATACAGTGATAAGACATACAATTAAGTAAATGGAAATATATTTAGGAAGGAAATGAAATTAACGATTAAAAAAGGCGTAAACAGACGCATTACTACTTATTATTCAAAACATGGTCTGACATCGATGGAATATGCTGCTGAAAAACCTAAACAACAATATAGAAAAATGAAAGGTAATAAGATAATTTTTAAGCAATCAAAGACGATGGAATCACAAAGACAAACAGTGGCTCCCTATGATTATTTGTCGATACTTGTGATTCCCCGCTGTTATGCTGGATTAAAATAATCGACCACCTCTGGTGGCATATGCGGTTCTATGCAGATGGTTTGATATTACCCGACTTTTCATTGTTATAATTTACTTGGGATCCAGGACCCCATCACTCACTGTGATGCAGGATACATCCAGCTGACGAGTCCCTATTAAAACGAAACGCGCATCCTAGATCCTACTAGCTATCCACCTCCAAGTAAATTATAACAGTGGATTTATATGTTTGACTTTTCCCCCCACTATTCAAGTGAAAGAATCGAGATCAGCTGTGATTCCAAGTTATTTCTAATGCATAACATGATTTTATCTAACACCAAAGGAATATTTGATAATCTGAAATAGCCGTGGTTTGACGGATAGTCAAATGGTAATCAATGTAATGCTCACCCCCCCCCCCCTCTAATTCAGTTATATTTCGATTGGGATGAGAAGTCCTTACTAGGCAATCAATGTGAATACCATCAAGTGGCAGTAAAGCGTCATGAATTCACATAGTAGTCAGACAAACCCCCATCTTGTGATTGAAGTGAAATAAAAATCTGGTCAGCGGTCGGACCTCGTAGCTCAGTTGGTAGAACATCGCGCCGGAAACCCGGTGATCACTGGTTCGAATCCGGCCACGGTTCAAATTTTCATTTCACCTTCAATCATCACTCAGTATAACAACTAAAAGAATATATTTCGGTTCTAATCGCTACTATCTTAGATGTTCGTAAGTTTAAAAAACACATGCAAAACCTGTGAGCTAAAGCCAAGTACTGCAAACACTAACTGAAGCATATGATCATCTCAAAACTGAATTTAGGAAATCATTTGTTAGGTAGATAGCAATCGTGAATCATAACTAACACCATCTAACAGTTAAACACAATCTCTTAGTTTTCAATCACTTGATTGTCCAAACCAAGTGCACTATTACTGAATGAAATGAAAGTATTTTTTTTGTTGTTGAAGAAGAAATAGATGGTGGTCGCTTAATTATGCCTTGAATCGATGAACAACAACATCAACATGTTCTAATTCCTATTTCTGTCCTGTTTAAGGCTAGTTGAAGTAAAAGTTAAATTAGTTTCATACTGTGTGTACCGAAAAAAAGGTGATTAAATAAAAAAAAAAGTTCATTGAAAGAGATATGCTGTCTTAGTTTGTCCATAATCAGTACAAATCGACGCAGCACCCGATGATACACAAGTGGATCGATTCAAGTTGCCACACTTTACAGTTGTAGGGAATGAAGAAGTGAATAGAAAAAGAGTCATATACAACTAGACAAAAGTGCATATAAAAGAAAAATAAATGAATCTTATCAAGAACTTTCAAAAATATATGCTCCAGTGTGACCGATTATCAGATATGTCACCAAGAATTTCACACCATTAACTTCTATTCTCCCCAAGACCTCAGTTAGATAGTTTACACCTTTCTACATGGTCGAGATCGAACGTCACAGGCTATATGGACTGTTGCCACGTCTTACAATAACCACCCTTAGTCTTATTTTCATCCAATTTTAAAATTAATAGTTACAGCAGAATGAAAACAACAGTTAGTACACTGCATTATATAATACGTGATAGGCTAGTATGAATCGTCTTTATTACCTTTTCTATAAACAATTATAAACTACGGTCTTCTGTTAGTTATTTCTCGCATCTATTACGATTTACACATCGAAAAGGTGTTTAGAATGACTGGATCGATTAAATAGTTTTTATAACTAAGTCATTAACTGCAATTTTAAACTAGATACCAAAGATTCTCATATATTGATGGATACTAACTGGAAAGTAAGATGTATACCTTGGTCTACAGTAAGACATGTTCCATCATAGTGGATAGTATCTCACTTCATTGCTTAAAATATCCCCCCCCCTCCACAACAACTATGCTAATCATAATCGTAGCCATAGAGGTACCAATCATTATCTCAGTGATGCGATGAAATTACTTTTCCTATGCTTGAAATAGGTTGGTTGGCAAGAAGGATTCTCCTGGAATGATTGACAAATTCTGACTAAAAGCTGACATGTTTAACTAGGGAAGTGTTCGGGCTGTGGGTAAGTGGTTTATGCAGATGACTACCAACCGGTGGGTCACAGGTCCGAACCTCGCTCCACCTACTAAGGTTTGGTCAGCCAGGTAGTATCACTAGCCCTCATACAATAGGTGTGGTTCACTGCCTACTGCACAAATGTGCACAAGGTGACTGAATGCGTTTCGTTTGACAAAAGAACTGAAAGTCTCGTTAAGAATGTCGAGGTTAACAATCGGACATTTAAGACCATAGTTTAGTGCTGTGAATAAATCCTGTCTAACACAGCTTGTCTGGATAGATGCTGACTAGGTATGCATAACAAATCCCTTAATTACTCCCTTTGATGAATGTTTACGACCTTATATATCTTGCCTTTTTTACCGAAGACTTTGCCTAACTTCAGGTAACCGTTCTACGACAAGTGGATGATTCTACGAAATTATAGATAGTGGAACACCTACAGGTCTCTAATTTGCTCCATCTTTAATGATCATGCTAGGTATTGAATTGTCTTACTAGTGTCACAAGTAGAATGATTAAGAAAAGACACTTGGATCTATAGTATTCATGCTCGCATTTCGTTGGCAAGACTTTCCAAGGAAATGAAATGATGAACGCGTTTATTCTTTATAGTCATATAAAGTATTAGAGAACGTCAGTCTTCAAGAAATCATTGTAATTAGATGATAAAAACAATAGCAAGCTTCAACTTGTCACTATTTTGTCAGCATCTGTGCGTAACACAACTTCGTCGCTGATGTACCCTAAATTGACAAAGAATTGTCCTACGAGATCGATCCTTGTAAAGTCAGGTGAAGATGCGGAGGACCTATAAAACCACGTCTGACAAAGTCAAATAAAAAGATAGAGTGAAGATCTTTGAACGACAGTGCTTAACGCAAACATTTCACCTGTTAACTCATCATAAGCTCTGACACCAACATCTGTATTTGACTGACTGTCACAATTCACGTTAGTAAACAAAGAACGGGTGGATAAAATAAGACATATCAAAATAGATAAAGTTGTATGAGAGAATAAACAATTTGAAGATAAAAGACATTCGTGTTTGAGCAAAGCATTTTCAATAGGGTGATGTACCTATTG